GGCCAGAAGTAGCAGACATATGGCTGATGCTATTACCACAGCCTCGGAGACAATTTATCGTTAGTTCTTCAAATACAAATTGGACCTGCACAATAAATACCACATTTTCAACTGTATAGTTATACATAGTCGCTGAATGGTGTTTCAGGTATCACTGATGTGTGTCAACAACACTCCCATCGCATGCATGTAGAGACCGTGTAAGTCGCCGGGGATTATATTTAAAAAAGCGTTACACCTTAAGCAAAGACGGAAGGCAACTGGAACAAACACTTAAAAACGCTGTTGCAGTGAATATAGACGAGATTAAGTTCTATTTATTATTAAAATCCTGCGGAGCCTTTCATGAAATCCTCATGGGTCACAAAAATGAAGAATCGAAAAGTTGTGGTAATAGTGATGTACCCAGTTTACATTGAGCCCAACCGGTCAAGCGTATTCAATTGAGATTTTTTGGACACTTGGTCCGTGGTTGTACCCAGTCCATTGGAAACCCCTAACTGAGAAGTCATCGTTTCAGAACATTCAGAAAAACAATAGGTGGTTTCTGCATGTGGGATCATTTTGTGCGTGTAGAAGTTTTTGCGGGAGGTGTATTGTTCAATTTCAGGTCACTCTCATTTTGAACAGTCGTCCTCCTGTCCTGGCGCAATAATTCATGTGAATCCACACTAAAGGGATTGGGGAAGCACTGGACTCGAGTTTCGCTGTTATTAGAGCTCATCAGCAGTGCATATCCAACGGCCTTGCCGGAGTTTGATCTCCCGACACTTGACATGCGAGGCGAACGTGTTACCACTATTGCATCAGCGCACGTTGGACGCATCTGAATTCTCACTTCTGAACGGGCGAACGTGTTCTCACTTGAGTGCTGTGATTAGTATGCCCGACACGTCATCGATACTACGACCCAGTAACTGTCCTGGTTGTGACGATCGATTGGCCCGATTGTCAGGACTTCCCAGTCAGGTAGCGCCACAGACGCTTGAAACCGGTTGGACAAGTTTTGTCGATGCATGTGGGGGTATTTGCGGGAGGTGTATTGTTCAGTTTTACTGCTGGACAACGTTTCGCCTTTGACAAATAAGCCTCCTCAGGCAGAGTGACCAAGTTACAAGTTTGGATGAGTTTTAGAGCAAGCGGTGTTTGGCTTGATTCTCAGTTACTCGATAACTGGAACAGCCTACTGTCCAGTTAGATTGGACAAATTAACATCAGAAGTCCGTTGAGACATTTCATGCAATAGATGTTCACTCAACCGAAACATCAAGATTTTATTTGTTCTCTGTAGTGCCTCCTAGCTCAGGATGGGTGTGAGTGAACAAAAGCGTCAAATCCGTAATTCCTAATCTGGTGAACTGATCTATTTCTATCTCATAGCTAACGAACACCTTGCTGATTGCTTATCAAATCCAGACTAGTTAGGCCAAAAGTGAACATATCCCATATATGGTACGAAGCGGCTTCCGCTAGTCTAGTACTAGTTCATGAGCTGACCGATTAATCAGAATAAACTTATTAACAATACAAGACTAATTTATATCATATCTCTGACCAAATGGACCATATTCTTTAGCGATAAATTCAAAGCAACCAAAAGTTCAAACCTATTCAACCGATTGCCATTCAGAGACGGCGTCTGAGCGTTTGCGCCCTTTCAAGCTGTTGGCAAAGCTTATATCCACATGACGCTATTTGCGGTATCCGTGATATTAGTGCCTGTTTGGCTATCCTCCGAGTTCCTCCAGTTCATGCTTCTTTTCATGTCACCATAAAACTGAATTTTGCTAAAACTGAGGAGTTCCACAACCTTACGCTTTGAATGGTTACTGTACTTATTTCGTCAGGCTTAGATATAACTATCCACGTTGTTGGAATTACCCCCTTTATGAGAAAGCAAACCGAAGTACCTACATTCCGAAATTAACGACAATCAAACAAGAGCATCCTAATTCGCAACGTCTGATTTCTCCATCATCAGTCTTCTAATGCGATACAATTTGTTTTTATTCCAGAACCGGCCACATTAAACTTAACTAATAATTCATACTCAAATTTCATTTGATCGTTGAGGTTTTTCGTGTGCACTGTGAACCTAAAGACGCACATTAACTCCTTTGAGAAGCACTAATTTGACCCAAGAGTGTCCATGTGGTATGCGAACAAACGCGTATGTCATCAAGTTGCACCTTATTTTAGCGTTTTTATTACTCCGAACTTTGTTGAACCTACGCGAGAAACAGAACTCGGTATCAAGAAGATACAGATGGTGGGATTTCGATATTTCGCTTATTTTCTCCTCAACTCCAATAATAAACGCAATTCAGTCCCGCAAAATTGGACTTAATCTATCGTCGACTGGTCTCAGCCATCACCGGCCACGCCTGAGTGTAAGGAAATAAGTAAAAGCAACCTACCCGCTTGCCTAAACCATTTTGAATTTGACCCAGTTGTTTCCTATCCACATTTCCCTGGGTACATGTTGTACAGGAGTGATAAAAATTGTCGCACAGCATGGTGATGATGACTAACAAATCACATTTAGTCCGTGGAACGTACGTGTTAGCCATTAAATATGAGAAATATGAATCTTACGCAAAAACGATTATTCTGGACGATTGGGCGTTAAATGCAGCCGCTAGTGATTGAAGTAAGCGTTGATAATCTTTAACTACTCGTTAAATATGAGTAGGAAGTGTCAAATACTAAAAAATCCCCAAACAAATCACTGCATTCGCTTAATTTATGACCCATCCGGTTGGCATCTTGTCCTGAATTTTTGGGCAAACAGTAATTAGCACTAACCGCGATTTGGCTTCAGTCATAATTTTCAGCCATAACTCACAAGTGGTGTCTGGACACAAACATTCGATGTAACACAGACTACCTCAAGCCTATCTATTGATAATTTCAATGAATTCTCCCTAGATTTAGATATCGGCAGAATGAGAAAATTTCAACGTCGCATTCATCGACTGGTAAAGGCCACCATTTTATCAACAATCGAGAATTCCACGACGTTTTCCTGACATAAATTACTGTTCCAAATCTCATTTCCACCTCAGCTTGTGATTAGATTTGACAATATGGCCGAGTTGGGCGAGCAATCTTTTCGTAACCATTTTCATTGGGAAATAATGTAATGAATGGGTTATTTTCGATTATTTTCTCAAATGTTTCATATAATGAACAAAAGAAGCTCATTTATTGTCTAGGTAATGGAGTTGGGTTTCAGATCTTAGCCAGGTTTTGAGGATTTCAGCGGATCTC